AGCAAAACAAAGCTTTGCTTACTGAACAAAGGTTACTGTTATAAACAGTTGCCACAGAAAGTAGTTTCAGTATTCTTAGTTACAACATCATAGTAATCATAACACATGAGTGAATACAGATAAAAATAACTGCCAAGTTTTCCTTATGTGACTCAAATAACAAAAGCAATATAAGTGCATTATCCCAAACATGGCATTGTGAATTGTCTACCATTTTAATCAAATAGAACATATTGTGATGATACGAAGGTTCGCTCTTAAAGTTCAAATTCTTCAGATATCAACCAACTCACTAACTCTTTGAACAAAATAACCGTACTTATATACACAAATCATAAGGGTTCTAGTAAAATCCAGAATACCTGACATATAATAATTGCTAACTAGTAGGTTCTAGAACATTACAGAACTTATAGTACATATAATTACATTCCAGAATAATCTAGAAGTACACACATACATTACACAAGAAAAATCAACATAAACCACAACACATTATTAAGTACAATTTATCACACATATATATCTAATATAAAAGTCTGAATCATAAAAATTATGCATATTCTTGCATTTATCAGTGTACTTAACAAAAACTGTACAATAACCCAAAGATTACTTTATGTAGCTTAAAAAACAACAACAATATGCAAAACATTATTACTTCTACCCCATAGCTACATAACATTGGGAATTCTGAGCTGCTTTTAAGGTATAACATAAGCATAATGTACTCTTGATTTTATTAATGTACTCACCTAGTACACTCCAGCCTATCATGACAGACAATTCTTAAATGCATCCAGAAATGGTGCCTCAAGATTGAAACAGATCTTTGGAGTTCAGTAAAAAGAACTAATCAAGGACTGCTTGTGAGATAATTTAAGTGGGGAAGTGGAGAGGAAGGGGAAAAAATGTTTATTGAAACTATACAAACTAGCATTGTTGTTTTGAAGTTACTCTATAATAATAATAATCAATACTTTACTTTTAAGTTACTGATGGTCATGTAATCAATGTCACCATCTTTGGATAAGAGGTTTCCACTGGGTTGAGTTAAAATTTTTAATAATTCTTTTAATTTTAGATTTGCAGTTTCTGATTTCAATATTGCTTTGCTGTATGAAATGTCAGAGGTGTCACTGCCTGGTAAGTGTTTGAGCTGATTTCGATTCAAACTTTTTTGAGTTGTAATATTGGCTCTCCTGAGAGAGTAAATGGAGGCATCCACGACAAGCTATGATTGATTATGTCAAAACTGAGATCATTAACTTCATTTAAAATGACCATAATTCAAAAAATTTAAGTCAGAATCACCTCAAACTTTCTACATAGCATAAGTGCATCATTATTCATCAAAAAATGTAATAAAAATTGGGGTTATTTTTTGAAAAAAAGGATAGGCTATAATACTATCTATTTTTTAGACTGCCTTCTTTTTGTTGCAAATTGTCAAGTAAAGTATTACAAGGTTTTTGATCAAATTTCACTAAAAATAAAAAGGAGAAAATTAAAATTTTAAAAATGCACTTATGTTGCATAGCTGATTCCAATCAAAATTAAAATTGGGCAAATGTCTCTAAACCGTAAAGTACATGGATTTTGGAAAAATTTTGTCAAAAATAAAAAATAGAAAATTTTTTATTTTAATAATGAATTCAGTATTGAATGAAATGAATGAACTTTAACTATGAAGCTCAAGAGAAGTGTCACTACTGATAAGTATAGCAATGAAATCAATGGAATGTATCCTGAGGCACAATAAAAGGAAAAAGCATTAATTATATAATCATCAACAATCATAACATAATACATGAATGTAAGTGATAAAATATATTAATAATAATTTAAGTGATTTTAACCTCATGCACATTCATAGCTTGTGAATCAGAGACCTAAATACGTTTATAGCTATAACAAATATTATCATTATTAGTATTATTATTTTTTATTTGTAATTACTATTTTGCTTTATTTTCTAATGTTGTGTTTTACTCTGCTTTGTAAGAGCCTGCAATTTCATTTCAAATTAATTTTTAAAATTGAATACACAGTGAACAATGATGCATGTATAAAAAGTGTAAACAGTTAAGTTGTAGAACAGCATCAAAGTTAAGAGTGTAGCAAACAAGTTCTAAAAACAGCATTAAAAGTTATTATTGAAAACACACTGCT